TGGAGACGTGGTGGGAGCAGGTGATGGCGGAGCAGTGCAGGGAGGCCAGGTAGGGCAGTGCCAGGAGCGGCCAGCCTGCCGTCTGCAGGTCGATCACCACCAGCTCCTCCTCGGCCAGCACCACCAGGGCGTAGGGGTCGTCAAAGGCTGGGGGTACAGGCCGAGGGTCAGGGGCCAGGAGGAGGCAGGCAGTCTGCCTGGGGCCGGCCCACAGAATCAGGCGCTCCAGGGCTGGAACCAGGGAACCAACAGATGCCCAAGGCCTGTCCTTGGTGGTGAGTGCCGTCCCTTTACCCCCAGGAGGGCAGAGGTATGCGGGGGCAGTGCTGCCTCTGGGCTCCAGGCCAGCAGCTAATTGGCACAGGGCTCCCGGGGAGAGTGGGATCCAGCCAGGGCTAGAAGGCAGAGTCGCAGTCAGGAAAGGGCTCCCCTGCTCAGGGTGACGCCCTCCATGTAGGAGGCAGCAAGGCGGACGGACTTCAGCACTCCGGCCTCTGGGGTGGGCCTTTCCTTTCCAGTCGGTGCCCACTAAACACGCTGGGCAAAGAAACGACGCCTGCCTCCTCCATGACCTAGCTTCTGCCGCCCCACCTCGGCAGATCCCGCCAGGCTTCCAGCCAGTAGGGAGGCCCTGGGCCCTGCCCCACCTGGGAAAACTGCCTCTACCCACAACTCGTGGCCCACCCAGAGCAGAGCCCCAGTTGGGTCCTACTCCTCCTGAAGTCCATGCGTTCCAGGAGCCTCTGCTGCCCACTGTCCCCTCACAGACAGCCATGGTCAAAGCACCTCGGTCCCTAGGCCAGGGAAGGCCTGGGTCTGCCCCTGTCCACACAGCCTCTTGTGAGAGTGGCCCATGCTGCCCCACTTCCTCTCACCCACTCTCTCTCTTTTAAAGATTAATTTTATCTATTCACCCATTTACTTTAAACCAGAGACAGAGACAGAGAGAGAGGGAGGGAGAGGGAGGGAGAGTGAGAAAACGCCATGTAGGTCTGGGACTCAAACCATTGTCAGCCATGTGGGAGTGCCCAGTGCCTTAACTATCACACAACCTGGTCTCCCCGCCCCCATTCTCTTTTAAAAAATGTTTTACTTATTTATTTCCTGAGAGTGAAAGAGACACAGACAAGCACCCTCAACATGGTCTCATGCCGGGACCCTGCCCCCTGCCCCAGCCCTCCCACAGCTGGGAGCGTGGGCGTGTACAGGTCGACCGGTGAACTGAACCTGTAGTCCCCAGGGACCCAGCATCAAGGAGCCGCTGTGCTGCAGGGCTGGTCCCCATTCTCTTTACAATTAGGCTTTTGTCCCCAGCAAAAAGCTCTAGCCTAGGTTCCCACGCTGCCACCACCCGCTGGCCAGACGTCCGCCTTCACCTGCCTGGGCCCACCCTGGGAGCGTGTTTTCATCTCCTGCTCTTCCGGGCTTGGCTCTGCCATCTCCCTGACTGCTCCTCGGCTTCTCAGTCTCCACACCTCTAACCCCCTTAGGGTGCCCTGAGCCAGTTTTCAGGTGGCCTGTCTTGCACGTCCCACTACCTGGTTGGCCACGTCTGGTCTCAAGGCTGTGTGTCTCTGTGTGTCCCTGAATTCCAGGCTCATAAGCCGTCTCCTCCACTCCTCCACACCCCTCCACACGGAAGTCCTCACACCTGACTCCCACAGACACTTGGCCACACCCCTCACTTCCTGACCCACCTCTACCCAGACAAAGGGTCAACAATTAGGCCTGAGGGCTGACCTTGGTCCCCTGCTTGTATTTGTAAATATGATGGAACTTCACAAATCTCATGGGAAAGTGGAATGAAAGTATGAGTTTATTTTGGTGCAAAACCATTTTTAAATTTGCACAGTGTTCTCCTGATACACGTTCTGCACGAACTTCTTGAAGCCCCCCCTTCACCCAGCTGTACTGGGATGCAGTCGTGCCTGCTGCTGGCTCACTGGTACTGGCCAGCCCCTCCACCAGCCACTGGGGCACCCGTCTGCACCCCCAACTGCCAGAGCCTCTCTGAACAGAGCCCAGATCAGGGCACCTCGGCTTGGGGCTCTTGTCTCTCAAATGAACCTGAAGTTCTTACCAGGCCTCTTACGGCCATGCATGACCTGACACAGGCCACATCCGAGTCACTGCCAGGTCACTCTCTCATCCCTCTGCCCCCACCTCCCTTGAGCAAGCCAGGAGCTCCCCCAGCTGAGTCTGCACCCCAGGTCCCTGCAGGGCTGGCCCTGCCCCCGTGGTCCTGTGTCTTCTCTCAGGGAGGCCTTGCTGACCCCTCATCTAGGTAGCACCACCCTTCCTGCCCCACCGGCCTCCTCGCCTGGCCTCACCCCTTCCCTGCCGCAGACATTCTCTGTCCCCCTGCTCACCGTCTCCCCACACTGGAATGTGAGTCTGCGGGAGCAAGGGCATTGTCTGCTCTGGGACAGGCCTGGCAGGTAAACCAGAAAGCCTTCCTGGGGTGGCCTGGCCCAAACCCACGAGATGGCAGTGGGTTACATGTAAGCCCCAGGCGGCCACATTTTGGCTGAAGGGAGCACCCCCATCACACACTGTATCCCGCAGGCAGCTGGAACTATGAGGAACATGGGGACACGGGAAGGTGGCCTGCCCCAGAAAACTTAGTGGTTTTGTTTTATTCCTGACAGAAACTGTGTGTGCGCATGCATGAAAAAGACGGGGGAAAGCGCCCCACGGGGTCTCATGCAGCCACGGTCCCCTTCCCCTGGTCGTGCACAGCCCGGTGCACTGCAGGCTGACTGGGCTGGGGACCCGCCAGGCTGGGCCCGCTGGCTTCAATTCCAGAAGCATTAAGCTCAAAGTTTTTCTCCTTGTCTCCCAACCCCTGCCCCTCTGCTGGGGGTCAAATGACCTGGTTGGCCCAGGAGTTGGGGGCAACCAGAGCCAGGCCCGGGCTCTCTGCCAAGCAGCACCATACCCCTGCTTTCAGCCTCAGGTATGGGAGGGGAGAGGCTGAGTGAGAAGGAATCTCTCCACTGGTGAAGAGGACTGAGAACCCAGACACATTGTCCTAAGCAGGCCACCTTCCTCATCCAAAGGCCACCAGGCCTCTCAGGCCAGAGTCAGAGAGGAGGCCCTCCCTCTGCCATGTGTGGGTCTCCACACCAGCCCTTTCTGGTCTGGCCTATCACCCGTTTACGTGGCTGACTGAGGGTTTCTCCATGTCTCAGCCAGGACCCTCCTGCCCAAGCTAGGTGGGTGTTAAACCCAACAATGCATGGGGCCGGCAGGTGGCGTGGTGGTTAAGGGCGCTGGACTCCCACATGGCCAACCACGGTTTGAATCCCGGACCTAGTGGCTTGCTTTCTCACTTTCTCTCTCTCTCTTACTCTGTCTCTCTCTGGTCAGATTAAAAGAAGTAAATAAATGGATAAATAAAGTTAAATAAAAATAATTATTTTAAAAAAAGAAAAATAATTAAAAACAAAACCAAAAAACCCAACGATGGAGGTCTGCCCCCTTTGGGCTAAGACCTATCAAAGCCTGGAACTCAGGCAGGCAGGGGGTGCGGTCCATAAAGAAGTGACAGCCTGGGCCTCCGGCTGTGTAGGATGGCAGGGAAGAGGAAAGGGTTAACCAGGAGGGGCCGCTGGCCTGGGTGACAGCACAAAGGGGTGCGGTGGCCGGTTGGGAATGTGGAGCAGACCCCTCCGTGTCCCCATACCTCCACTACCTAACCCTGCACAGCCGCTCCCGGAGCCTGGAAGCTCGCTTACCCGCTGCGGAGTCCGCCTCGGCCAGGACGGTGAAGTCGATGACACGGGACGTGAAGTCGAAGGCTGTCTGCTGGCTACCGTGGACCACTGAGATGCAGTGGCGGTCCCCGTAGCTGGCCCGAGGCATGCCACCCTGGAAGATGGTGAAGGGCAACCTGCCGGGCAGAGGAGCAGGGTGGGCTGGGGCTCTGGCTACCACTGGACTACACAGGCCATGCTGAGAGCCTGGGCTTCTCTGCTCTCCTGAGAGGGAGGTCAGTCTCAGGGGGATTGGAGGGCATGGGGCTGGCCCCCCTTCTCTTCCTGACTGTAACAGCTTAGAAAAGCTGGAAGTTCTGAGCCTCAGCAGCCCCGACTCCTGCTCTGGCGACAGCAGAGGCCCCCCTCTATCTGCTTCTCCATTAGGTCCCATGCGTGGTTTGAACCCAGGGCACCAGGCTGCCGCTAGACAATCTGAGACTGCTCATCCAGACATCTCTCCAGGACAGCAGGGACAGGCGGAGGCGTGGACTGTAGGAACTGAGCTGTTGAGGGGTACAAAGGACTGGGACCCCAGAGTGGGGCCTGGAGGGGCTCACTAGGATCGTCTCCCTGAGCAGACACCCGAGCAGCAGGACAGCCCTCCAGGGAAGCGATGGAAGGGAAGCGGGCAGAGTGGCATCACCTACCCCTGCCGAGTGGTCAGCCAGAAGATTTTGGTGATAGCTTTGCAAGGAAAGGGACCTAGGAGAAAAGGAATTTGTTAGCAGTCCCTCCACTCCGCCCTGTGTCCGCCCCCTCAGCACAGATCCCGCATCCACACCCGTGTGGTAGGCCTATGTGTGGGGGTCTTGCTCTGGGCAGTTCCCTGCAAGAGGCCTAGTGGGCACCAGAAAGCCTGCTGCGTGGCTTGGGGCAAAGCCTTTACCCTGTCTGGTGCCGAGGCTTGTGTGCATGAGTGGGCACCCACACCTGAATCCAGGAGAGACCTAAAGCCGGTCCTGGAGGAGGGCAGGCAGCACCCTTGGCAGGTGGACACAACTGACCGTAAGGCACGACGCTGCGCAGAGGCTCGGGGGGCTGGGTGTGGCGGGACACGGGCCATTGGCAGTGGCTGCCGTCG